GATCTGGCACATGTAATTATAAAGCTTCAACTTCGGTTCAGTTACACTTGTCAATTCTGTTGAGATAGTTTGTCAGAATTTGGTTTAGCCTTTCATCACATTTATATAAATCAGGGGCACACTGATGAATTATGAATGTCATCCACCTATTTCTAAAGGAAACTGGCTTCTGAAGTGTTACAATAAAGGCAAATTTCTCTTGCTGCCTTAAACGTTACACATAGTTCGGAGAGGACTGAATGTACGGCCATCACCATCACTCCTGCAGGAGAAACTTAATGGATCCTCAGCAGGTGTGAAATGAGATGGTTTCGTGGTGCTGGGATGCTGCGTTACACCGTGGGCCCTGCCTAGTGCGCGCCTGCCATCTGTTCAGTTTTAAGTGATCAAGCCGTCCCCATGAAACCGATAGGTTTATCCATATGCTTGATATTCTCCATGTGCTCAGTGTCCTGCTGGTCCAGGGCATCGCTGGGAAGTGGCATGAGTCACGTCTCTGCTTTCCATCATGAATCTCACACCCCTACAAAACTGTTAACCAGATCTTTCTGTGGCAAATTCTATGTAGAATAATTGAGACGTCGTTGGAGATCAAATTGATAGTAGTAATTCTATGATGAATAACAACATGCACATGGTGCCATCACGCATACTGTAATCCCTGGGCGCATGTTGCTGTATTCAGTACAAAACAGGTTTTGGCAAAATTAATTGTTGAGTTGTCCAAGTTATTTCTTAACCATGTCAAACACGTGCCATTTCCTTTTGCAACCAGTCAAGCCTATAATGTATGAAAGTGTTGTACATTTTCGGAAACTTAAGTGATGTAAAATTATTTCATTGAATTCTGTTCTGATTGCTTTAATGAAGTTTGGTCTCTACATAAAACTAAATATCTTCAAAGAATTGTCAGTGCCAGAAGTGTAAGAGAACAAAATAAAAGGTGAGATACTTAATTACAAAATCTTTCTCACAGTTTCCTTTGTTCGTCTATCCAGGTCGCCTTTTAGAGCTGCAAAATTGCATTGCTCAGCAAAGTGAGCTAAAATAGCCCGTGGGCTTGCTGAAATAAGTGAAGGGTAAGAATAACTTTGAATATGATCTTAATATGATATGTTTCAAACCAGGAAGCGTTTCTGTGATAATGGCACACCAGATGAGTGTCCCTCCCTTCCTGGAGGATTTGTCTGAGGAGCTGAATGCAGCTACGCAGAGCTGCCAACTGTCCCCATCTACCCCTATGGCTTTTCAGTGTCCCCTGCCCAAACACAGACCAATTTTGTGACAGCAATTTGTACCTTCAGATTTGATTATCAATGGGGAAAAGGGCAGAAGTTGCTATTTTCTAATGGGGAAATGTCCTAACTCTGTGTGTTTTATTAAGAAAATTGCTTAAACCAGTTTGATGATTAATGAAGAGCAGCATGACCGAGGCCGGGCCGTGCTGGGGGCTGCCTGGGCTGTGCTCCCCAGTGCATCAGAGGAATCACACCCGATAGACCAAGTGGAAATTGGTCCTGTCACCTCCACCTACCCCAGGTACGATGATCTAATCCTTGCGAGATCCAGAGGTGCCTCTGACAGAGCTGTGGCCGTTCAGTCGGGGATGCAGCAGCACGGCTGACGGGGAGATGCCGGCAGCGGGAGACTGCTCAGCGAACCTGTGTCTGGGGCAGCACTTGGCCTCTGGGAGGGGAGAGAAGAAGCTGATCATTGGGCACTGACAGGTTATGTTTTTAGGTTTCTGGCTGATAGTGCTTACAGAGGTGATGAGTGGCGGCGGTTCAGATTACTTGTCACCAAAACCACATGGCAGCTTTGTGGGGTAATGAAAAGCTGGTGGCTCTGCTGGCAAACCTTGTTGGAGTTCGGTATCACCAGCCCTGGAGAAGCAAGCTCTGATTTGGGGACCTGGGAGTGTCACCTCCAACCCATCGGCTGCCATCACTGAGAAGGGGCTGTAGAAGCGTTGCAGAAAGGTCATTCGCTTTTGGGGGGCAGAGGAGGCATTAGATGCAGAGCGTTGAATTTTTTTTTCCAGGAAGCCTCATCTTTGCTGAGTCTGCTCTCTGCTAAAACCCTTAAAAAGCCAATTCACAAACACTTTCCACCTGAGAAATAATTACCTGTATGAAGATTTAAGCTTCCCATTTGCCACAATGATAATCCTTCACGAAAATGAAATAAGGATTGCTACAAAGTTTGTGTAGGCTCTTGGCATATGAACATCCAGCCATTAATGTAACAAAGCTTCTGGCGGTGCTTGCCCAGAAAACCTTACCTTGTAGGTTACTGTAATTAGAGCTATTTTATAGGAAAAAAAGGTTACCAGCTGCATATTAAAACTGCTTCTGACAGAAGCTTAGGGTAACATTTTCAGTGAGTCTTTCTTTCCATCTGTATTTAGCATTCTAGTGCCACCATTAAACCAATGCTCCCAGTCTTTGGTTAATTACAGGTACCCTTCTGTCCTTTTCCCCAGCAAAACTCAGTTTATAATTGATGTTTACCAAACACAGTTAAAACCATACGTGTTTCTGTGGCCTCCCCAGGGGCTTAGCACACTGCCAGGAAGATGAACATGGATCAATACGGAGTGTCTCTGCCTGTGCTGTTGCCTCAGAGAAAGCTGATGGTGACTGGGTGTGTAGAGTGGGATGATGGCCATTACTGGAGGTTACAAATATCTGGATTAATAGCATTGGCTGCTGAAGTATCAGGTGAAGAAGGCAGGATTTGAGGCTACTGCTGAGAGAGAGGAAACTACTACTAAACCAAACTCAGATCTTCCCAAAAGTTACCAAAAAAATTGGTGAAAGAAAGTACCTGGGCAGAAGGGAAGACTGGCACTGAGAGAAGGGCAAAGCACAATTCTCTTCTAATGTAATAATAGTAATGTAAACACTTTAAAATGCTTCTCTAGGGGCTAAAAAGAGCGTGCTGCCTTATTTATAATCATTGCCAGCACACATACCACTACAAAGATAGTTTTCTTCCTTCTGATTGCTTTGCAATTACAGGTAAAAATCATAAGGTAATTGGATTTTATACGCTCTCATCCAAAGGCTTTGGAACATTATCTACAGCGATTGACATATCCCAAGTGGTGAATTACTGCATTAGAGACATGTATGCAGCTCTGACGTACAGCCAGTCAGAAAATGTGTGTCTGGCACTGAGCTGCGTAATTTCAGTCCTTCCTAGGAAATGGTGCACTCTGGGCTGAAAGCTGCCTGGAACCAGACAGATTTTTAGAGCTTCTATATTACTGGCTAAGGTGAAAATAAGCTATACCTACTGAACGGCTCTAAATTGTGAGAGATATGAGAGAGAACTTAATGAAGAGGTATTGCTTCGTTAGAAATCCCCCACACATACATCCACACTGTGCAACCAGTTCTCTTTTCCCAGCTGTGACCGGCACGTTTGTCCTGTAGGTTCAGAGGAGCAGACTGCCAGTATGTCCCGCTCAGAGGCTAGCTCTGCAGATCAGGAGTTTCTGCCTGAACTTGGGAACCTCACTTCACTGTAAAACCAAATAAAACTTAAAAGTCCCAGCACTGATGCCACCCCCACAGAAATCAGGAGCATAGCTTCCGTCGCAGGTTAATGGCAGTTTCCCTCAGGTTGGGTCACTTCGGCATCTCCCCAAGCGCAGCCACCAGAGAGTAACTCGCTGGCCATGAGGCAGTTTTACATCTGCCAGTCTAATAAAAACCCCTCAACTCTGGAGCGCACGGTGCTGGAGGTTTTATCTGTGCCGTGGGCTCTGGCTCGGCGTATTGCCGGAGGCTGGCAGAGCGAGCGAGCCGGGCGGCGGCGGGGGGCGCCGCGGAGCTGGGCACAGGGGATCGCCGGGCAGGCGCCCGCCTTCCAGACGCCCGAATTCAGGCCGGCGCGGGCGGGTGCTGGTGTGGCACGATGTGGGCGGGCTTCGTTCTGCTGAGGGAACAACTGTGCCTTGCACAAACCACCTGTAATGGCTGAGCTTTCAGCAAATCATAGCTGTTACTCGGATAAATTATAACTCCTGTGAAGATGATGAACGTTGCAGTTTCAGATTAAAAAAATTGACTGGGGAGGTCATTTTGAGACAACCTAAAAAAGAAAATCTGCTTATGTCAAGCCTTATGAAGTGGGCAGTGAATTGGCTAAATGATAGTTACACATTTCAGAAGTCTGGCTGTGCAAACCACTTCCCATGTATGCAATTTATATATATAAAAGACAATGTTATTTTCTTCCGAGTACAGAGAAGTCCACTGTAATTTCTGGAACCCTATTTTAAAAATGGCCTAGCCTTCAACTTGCAAACCGTTGAGCAATGTAGATCATCTTTTAACACTGGCTCTTACCTTTAAAAATAAAAGCCAGCAGAAAACACAGCCACAAGTTTGATGATGAGAATAGAGGCAAAGAATGGTGACGGGTCTCATCAGGGCTGGGTGACACACAGCCCTTCATCTGCAAACCTTTGGTTACAAAATGTAGAAATAAAAGAAACCAACCTAGTGAGAATTGGGGCAGTGAATCTTTTAACAGCAGTCTCCAAGGGAGAAAGCATAATATATTAACCTTATAAAAGCAAATCTCCTGCGCTGTTTAAGCAATAGCTTCCAGCATAGCTTTTGCCCAGGCCCGTTTGTAATGAAGAGGGTCCCTGCACGCAGCCAGCTGGCTAACGCCAGCGTATACACACACACACATATGCAGGATACAGAGAGAGAGGTATGCATGTATAAGTAAAGGTGGATGGATATATAAGTAGAAGATGTCAGTAACAGAGTGAGCCTCCCTGCCATCTTTACTAGGGACTTTCTTAGAAGGAAGGAATGTAACCTAGAAATATCATCAGAAACTTTTATTTGTTGTGATTTGTAGCATCACGCAAATACTGAAATGAAGAGGAAAGCATTTCAGGCTTTCAACATGCAGGCAAAATACAAACGTAAAAGATTTGTCAGTATTAACAGTCAGAGATCGAATCAATAGATCTGCTATGGAAGCAAAATTAAGCATTTTATTTTGGGGGTAAAAAATAATAAATTAGTTCTTTTAAAATTACATACTACGTGTGCAAATGTACCTTTTCTGGTGTTTCCCATGTTTGCATTTGGTACAAGCATGTGGCAAAGGCTAGTTTGTATGCTAAAATGGATAAGAATCAGACAATAGTTCTGAACTAAAAGCCACATTACATATGTTTTGAAGTGAAACAGCATCTTTCCTCTACCTTCAAGCAAAGTCAAGTCAATCCCAAACTACAGAATCCTATGGATATACGGTGGAGAAGCCAGTTTACTAGGCTATTGTAAAATCATGTGTTAACAGTTGGAGAACTATAGAAATCCATAGTTAGAGATAGCAGTAGGTAGATGGAGATCCATAGTTAATAATAGTTTAAAGCAAACTAGCAGCAAAAAATTATTTTGTCTAACCAGGCCAGAAAAATCAAAATAATGCCATTTAAATGAAACACACTGAGAACAGGACAAAACTTCTCTATTCCTTACGTGCCGTTCTAGTTGGTCAGTGCTTATCTCTCTTCTTCATTATGTCAAAGTAGTTCAGCACCTCCAGAGTCCTGCCGGCCAAACTCAGATACGCGGCCTCAGCAGAAAGCGCCGCTGCCCCTGCGGCGCAGGCCGTGCCGGCGGGCTGCAGCCCCTCCTGGGCCGGCATTCTGTGCCCTCCCGCGGTGCCGGGAGGAGGGACCCCCCCCGGGCCACGGGCAGGGGCACAGGAGCTCCCACAGCTGCTCCCCTGCACGGTGCCACACTGGGTGCCAACGTCCACTTTCGCTACTTCTGGGCCCCAGCGCTCCGTCTGCGACCAACCGTCACACCTGGTACCGGGAGCGGCGGGCTCTCCTTTAAGGGCTTGGTGGAGTGAGCTGCCCTCGGATGGGGCGGTGTGGTTGTTATTTTCCTCCTCTGGGGCACATAAAATAGAGACTTTCTCCTGAACGTGGTTTGCTGCTTCTCTAGTCCAAGTACTGCCGGGCTGTTGAGGCGGGGTTCTGGTGTGAGAGGCCTCGGGGGGCTCTGCGCTTGCTGAGGCTGAGGCTAGGGTGGCATCGCTGATCTGCGAGGACTGATCGTTCAGAATTTCCTTCCTTTTAGGTGTGTCTTCCTCTTCAGACTGTTCAAACAGAATTGTGTGAATGCAGCTGTTTAAATAGCTCAACAACTAAGGCCCAAGTTAATGACTAACTAATAACTAAGTTAATGAAATAAACAGAAAGGCCAGAACTGTCTGGTTTTGGTTTTGTTTGTTTGTTTGTTTCATTCTGTCTCCATGGGTGGACTCCTGGCCTTTCTTGAAGAGAAGGAGGGTAATGAGGACCTTCAATCTCACATTGAATTTATAGTCTTACATCGTGGCATTTAGGTGTTCAAGAATGGCTGAAAACACAACACAGTGTGTCAAATCCTTCTGCCTCACAGGCATGTACTATAAGATAGCTCTACATCAAGGAAAAATGCAGAAGCTTGCTTAGCATCTTCCCACATGTTACTGTAATTCCACAAAGCCTGGTGTTATCAAGAGACCAGATCACATGTCTGTTAAACTACTTAGGAAAATTTAAAGCTAATAACTTCTTGTCTTCCTCACCCATGAAGTTGCTTTGTACAAAACAAAACCATAAGTTAGATTCCAGCTACATCCACCCTTAGATGCAAGCAGGCATACGGATATCGTTCGAATGAACCCCTGCAAACCCATAAAGGGGCAGGACTCACCATGCCAGGACTAGAGCTGAAACAGCCCTCTGTCTGCCTTGGCGAGTAACAGGGAGACTGGCTGCTGAGTGATGAATCCACATCTGAAAAATGGGATGAAAAGGAAAGAAATCTTACTCAACGAAAATTCCCCAAACATCCAGTTCTCAAGGACAGCACGTAGAATTAAACATTACTACTTCTGATGCAGTTTTCAGGTACTGTTTAAAGTGTTAGTGAGGTCAATCTTGTCCTTGGCAATAACCAAGTCTTCTCCTCTCAGGACAACACGTCTTAACAGAACGCGTGGGACGGGTGCCCCAGGGCTTCAGCGATGCTGTTAACCAGCAGCCTGCACAGCAGCAGAACTGTGCTTCCCAAAAGGAGGAAGGACTCTGCAGGGCAAGGGCAGGGCGAGGACGCAGCAAAGGCCCTGCACGCACTGGCTGCCGTGCACGTTACGTGTTTTTCTCTCGGAGGCCCTTGGGAGCCCTTCTGCTCTGAAAGGCAGCCTGCACAGCTGACCCCTACAGCTACGGAGGGAGCAGAAAAGACGTGGGATCTGCCCGCTGACTCCCCTCACTCTGTCCACATGTGGAATGACAGCACGTAGTCTGGTAGAAAAGAACAAACATTAGTAAAGTCTGGACCAATGAAATGGCACGTGTCAAACACCTAGTGGAGACATTAATGAACACGGAAAACATGTCCAAGATTTTTTTCAATCAGCAGAGGTCTGCAGGAACAGAAGGAAAGAAAATTACTGGCATTTACTTGGCATTTTTACTAGGTGATGTTAGTAAACCTGAGTTGTGGTGTTCAGAGAAAACCCTTGACCTGTCTCACCGATTTTTTATTTTTTAATTTTTTTTTTTAGCACTTACCCCTACTTTCAGAGCTGGCTTTTCAGTTTAGGGGACAACTTTGGAGGAAATGGGACAATGAAAAATACATGTGTAATACTCACCAGAGAGAAGTTAACCTGAATTTATTTTTTCAAGGACAAGCAAACACAGACAGTTCTTAGTTACCTGGTAATGCTAGTCTTCTTTAAACAGTGCTGTGTGAATCAAAGATACAAGCCCTTATCAAATGTAACATCCTAAAAAAAGGCCAGAACACTTCACCCTGGCTTTAAAAGTAACTGTCTCAGTTTCATATGTAGAGAAACATCTGATTTTTTTTTTAATTAATAATGTATAAATATTACTAACCCTCTTCCATCTTGTGAAGATTTGAACTCACTCCAAACTTACACGCCTTCTCTCGTGCTGCTGTGAACTTTTAAAAATAATTAAATGTTAATAGTGAGGGTTCAGCTGGATCAGCTCCTCAGGCTAAGTGAGGAACGTTCAGTTTCTGTATTACATGAGCGAGTCACTGCACTGTGCTGCAAACTATTTTAAGAAGTACAAAACCCCTGAGAAATACTGTATGTACCCGGGTGACTTCTATGGGCAAAATATCTAAAAGATTCTTTATATGTATACTGGCATAAAGCTCCTTTATAGTACTGAAGTGTCCTGCATATAATGTTTGGGCACTGCGTGCAGAATCTGATCCTAAGGGTTAATGGGCAACTTTCACACAATGTATTTCGGGCATCAGCTTAGGTGTGAATCAAACCATGTAAATTATGGGCCTGAAAGGGCTGTCTATCTGAATCCCTTCACTAGAAGCTGTTCCTCCTGTATTCCCTATATAAACCATGACGGAAAAGAAACTTCCTCAGAGCTAATTCAGTGAAGCTAAATTCAGTTTCTAACTGCTGTGGCCATTCCTTCTTCACCTCAAATGAATGGTGCAAACAGTAGCTTTGACAAAAATGATGTCTCTTTAAAAAGTTACCTCTTCAAATGCAAAGGGCTGGTTCTGTCTCCAAGCTGATTCTTTCACAGACTCATCATCACTGAGGGATGCAAACACAGCGTTCTTTGGTAAGTGAGTTTTCCTCTTGTACTTTTCTTTTCTTTCTGAATTAAAATCATTACTGGTGACCTTTTTGTCTTCGTTTTTTATTTTCTCTTCAGTAACCATGAAATGCTTCCCACTATTGAGATCATTGAACTTATTTCTGAACCTGAGATTTAATACCAAGAATGTGTTTTTCACAAACTTTACTTCTGTTGAAATGCAAAATGCAATATGAGAAATGACAGAAGATCATGCTGCTTTGTAAAATGGAAGATGTTATAGATCAGAGTCTTTAATAAAACCATGTTCTGTAAAACGTGAGGCACTCACATATGCTACCTGTAGCCCAGGGAAGACAGTAACTTCCTCTGTAATCAGACAGGGTCTTTTAGAGGGCAAGTCAGAGCAACAGCGTAACCTCAGGGACTCAGAATTGCCCCATGAAGCGGTCTTTCTCTGTACTTATTACAGGCAGATGAACAACGGTATAACAGGCTTACCTGTGCATAAGTTTATTCACATTATTCACTACTGTTTTCACTGGGAAAATAGGTTCTCGGTAATACTTTTGGAATTTTGCCTTCAGGCTGGATTTCTCCAGTTCGGAAAGGTGTCTGCAGTTATCACTAGCGTGTAGATGATTGATAAGTCCTATGGCACTCACCTTTTTTTTCTTGAATAGTTCTGCACATTCTCCTCTAAATTAATCTCCTGATCATGATGATAAGCAAATGTCTCTAAAATAAAAAAGCCTTGATTTTAAAACACAATAGCATAAATGCAACTTAAAAATAAATGCTTGTCAACTTTTAAAAATAATTTAAATAATTGGATTTAAAATTGAACTACTGCATTCTGAAGACTCGTGACATGTTCTCAGTCAGAGCAGACACATCTCTGGTTATAAGAACATATGTCTTTAAAAGTAGAATAAAAAACAGAATATATGTCCTTAAAAGATTGACACGCACCAATTTTTTCAAGGTTTGCAGGTTTTTCTTTCTTTTTAGAGGGTATGAAGTACTGCTGTCCCTCATGACAGTCCTGCAGGTGGGTTTCATGAAGTCCACTGGTTTTCTCGTAGCTTGCACTTGAGGCAGCGTTACTTTTAAACAAAACCTGTTCTGGAGCTGTGAAAATGCCTTCAAGGTGTCTGTCTACAAAATTTTTTTTTGCATTGATTGCAGGATAAGCCTCTCTAGTATCATAAGGATAATTTCTGTTGGTCATTTGATCTTCATCATCGGGATCAATGAAAAAAATGGCAGTATTGCTTTGGTTAACAAAAGGATTAAAATACTTTGTGGAAGGATTATTATGGATTGATTGGCTCTCATCTTCAAACAGTGCCAGAAAGGAACAATCACTTCCATCTTGGGGAGCTTTCAGTTCTGCAGTTTCTTTCACAACACCAAACAATGGTTCTTTTATTCCTTCACTGTTTTCTGATTCGTTACTTGTCATTATCGCTGGATTTTTCCTGGCAGAATTCATATAGCCTAGCCTGAGGATGGGGGGTGAGGTGGAGGGGGGGATAGAAAAGAAAAAGCAGTTTGCTCAGTATATGAATAAGCAAAATACTAACTGCTAACACAACAAATTATGATAATTTGATGATAAAAATCTCAAAAACTTTACTGCTCATCACACTTGCAGTTCTCCCAAATGTACATTATTTCAACCGAAAAAGTGTCCTATATTTTATTTCCACTTTATAGTAAGGTTGATTTTAAAAGGTGTTCTGGTTCATGATGTCTCCAAACATACCAGGACATGGAGCACATCCTCCTCAGTAGGGAACTGTGATTTATAAAATCAGCCACAGTATGTCACTGCTGCTCCACCAGCTGACCAAAGAAGGCCACTTTGGAAAGGAAAAAAAAAAAAAAAAAAAAAAAAGAGGAAGACAGCTGCTTCTGTTCATAAAAATAGTTTATTCTTCAAGACTACATTTCTCTCCTGTACTGAAAGCCCATAATAATCTCTGTGTACTGTTTGATTCCTGGTCTCTTTGGCAAGTGAGTTCCATTGTGCTTGAGGTCAGTAACCCTAATTCAGCACAGAATTTTTCTATTCTGCAGTCAGGAGGCGAGTCAGACATTTTGGTTTGCCCATATTTCCGGGCTGTGGCAGTGTGCTCCCCGCCCCCAACCTGACCTGTGTCACCCACAACCCTGCTCAAGTGACAACCACCAGTGGCAGCTGGTCACAATGGATGTGTCTGCTTGTGATGGCTGCACCCTACTCAAAGTGGGTTTGGGGGAGACCGATAACAGTACAATAGCCAAGGGCTAATTTGAGCAATGCACCCACATAACCACAGCGCTGCTCAATCTCTGACTCAAGCCACATTTGGAGGAAACTAACACCTGTATTTGGTATGTAAATATAAGTCAGTTATCTTACCGCTTAAATAGTGGACAGCCCAGGGTCTGTTGAGCTCTCCTGCACGGCAGCGGGCTGCACGGCAGGATCTCCCCTTGAGCAAGGATGCCTCTCAAGGTTACTCCTTGAGGTTGAGAGATGCAACAGATTCTCAGCAGGTGATTAGCAGCATGCTAAACTTTGAAATCTTAAATGATACAAAGGCTTGACTGTGCATACATAATCCTTTAGACATAAACCGTCGACCAAGTCTGGGACTAACTCCTCTCCGAGAAGGAGTTTAGAAGCAAAGGGGTCTGTTCTGAACCTTGGGACTCAATGGGAATGTCTCCCTGACAGTTTTGTCTGACCCTGTCCCCTATGCAGTAAATATCAAGTGAACCTTGACACTGAATCTTGTTAAACCACGGTTGCATTTGCTATCAAACTTTGTTAAACCGCTGTTTTATATCAACAAGCATATTGCTGCTTCTCTCTTACAGGTGAGGTGTGTCACTCTATCCGCAACACCTACCCCCTTCTGATAGCAGTGGTTTTGAAGATGCTATCGTGCTAGCATTATTAGCATGAAAGCTATCATGCTTTCTCTTACTTGGCTCTTAATCTGACACTTTCACTGCTTTTTCCTGGGCTTGATCTGCATCTCAGAAAATCTGAACAAAAAGTTGAGAGGCTTCTGAAGCAGAGAATTGGCAAAGGCGGCCATTCAAAAATGCCCTTTCTTTAAAAAATTTTGAACAACGTAACCAATGGAACTTGCAAACTGAAAGGTAGTACAGAAAACTGTTACTGGAGAAAAACTGTGTAATGTTTTGATCAGCAAATACTTGGAACTGGATAAAGATCCTAGAGAATTTAAATGAGAAAGTAGTGTCCTCTACTTAACAGATACCTCCCCAGAACAGTTTTAAAAGGCTAAACACTCTAGAGTTGCTTTCCGGAGAAACGTAAAATAATTTTGTGAAGCAATTCAGAGGCTCCTTCTTCACTCCAGATGAACATTTTTTAATGCTAAGTAATAGTCGGTGAGGAAATAAGACATCTGATATTTTTAGTTAATATTTCATGACATTGAGGTGCCACAGCTCTCAGATGTATGCACATTGATTACAGCATCAGTATGTTACAATTACATTAAACAATTGTGTAAGTTTATACTCTACACATACAGCAAAAGAAACTCCCTTCCTGGGAGAACTGCCAGCTCTTGAGGTATAAGAATTTATGATTACAATGGATGAAAACAAAACAAGGATGATTGATAGAAAGAAATGGATTTGAAGAACAGTTGCAAAGGAGCTGTTGTTAGTGAACCATGCAGAGCACTGAGGGAGATGCCATAAGCTGATGGGTGCAGGCCTGAGGGTCTGTGGAGAAATGAAAGGGGAGATATAGGTGACATTAGGCCATGTAGGGCCTTAATGTAAAGATATTAATCGGGATTTCACCGAGATATACAGGAAGATGAATGTTATCCTCATTTTAGGTTTTGCTGGAGAAAGCTGGGAAAAGCTAGAAGAGAGAAAGAGAAAGTTAAGGTGGCTAAGACTGGAAGCTGACGTGTTCCTCTAGCTATCATGTGGTCAGTGAGCTTATCAATCACTTGACTTCCCAGGCAAACAGGATGTAGGTAGTTCAGGAATAGCAAAATAATATATGGCCTTTTTATGGCTTGTCATGGTTTAGCCCCAGCTGGCAACTAAGCACCACACAGCCACTTGCTCACCCCACACCCACACACAGTGGGATGGGGGAGAGAATCGGATAAAAAAACAAGTAAAACTCATGGGTTGAGATAAAGACAGTGACAGTTTAATAGGACAGAAAAGAAAGGGGAAATAATAATAATAATAATAGTATTAATAGTAATAATAGAATATACAAAACAAGTGATGTACAGAACAATTGCTCACCACCCGCTGACCAATGCCCAGGCAATCCCCAAGCTGCTGTGTCCCCTGGCCAACTCCCCCCAGTTTATATACTGGGCATGACATCATATGGTATGGAATATCTCTTTGGCTCATTTGGGTCAGCTGTCCTTGCTGTGTCCCCTCCAGCTGCTTGTGCGCTTCCAGCTTCCACTGGCAGGGCAAGAGGAGAAGCTGAAAAGTCCTTGACTTAATGTAAGCACTGCTCAGCAACAACTAAACCATCAGTGTGTTATCAACGTTATTCTCATCCTAAACCCAGAACACAGCACTGTACCTGCTAGTAGAAAGAAAATTAAGTTTATTCCAGCCAAAACCAGGGCATGGCTCTATCCCGCCACAACTAGAGACTGACAAGAACTTTTGACCAGATGGCAGACTTACAGAATAAAAAGAGTAAAGAAGTATTAGCCCTGCAAGACCCCTAGACTCAAGGCAAAAGTGCCTGGAAAGAAACTGAAATAAAATGTTCAGTATAAATGAGTCTAGTCCTAAACCCTCTGTGATTAAAAAGATTTTTAATCAGCACATACAGAAAGAAACATGTTCTAGATTTCCATCCATTCTTTTAAAAACAAAGTGTATATTCTCATAAAAGTATTACTGAACCAAGGCTGAAAAAAAAAAAAAAATCCCAACAAAACAAAACAAAAAACCAAACCCCAAACCAAAAGCTATATTAGGATCACATATGAAAGAGAAGGAAATAAAATGCTTTGTTCCTGACATCCCAAATGTAAACAATGCAGGTGGAGAAGTTGCTCAATTGCTACAACATCAAGGTCATAAGAAAAGTACTTGCAAAAGTGAACAGAACTAATGGGAGCTGGGGCAGCTACCTTCCCTGTGGCCTCTTCGTAAAACTGCCTTTTAGTAAAACTGCTTCCCACTTGTGGTGAATTCAGTAACACCATCATGTTTGTGATGTTGCAAAAAAAAGATCATGGTTCCAAGTGCCTACCTAAAATTCACATTTTGCTGCCTTTTAGCAAATTTATATAGCTTGATATGTTCAGTCTTTCTATTTAATTTCAATTTCTATTTGAAAAGCACCAAAAATCAGTGAAAAATCAAGTAGCAATATGCTTCAGATCATCTTAGTATTTTTCTTACTTAAACTTGACTGTTATTTCTCTCTTTAATGTAAAGTCACTGCCTACCTATGCATTGGCTTAAACAGTTCTTGAGGCACTGTATCAGACTTCCTGAAAATACACTGGCTTGGAGGTTTTGTAATCCAAGGGTCTTGATCAGAACTATTTCCTGGCTGAGAAAACAGTAGAAGCTGTCAAACTGAATATATATAATAGCTATAGTGTTTAAAACTTTAAAGTTGGGTTCGCAAACAATATACATGTTTTCCCACTATTTTTACTTCTTTTTATCTTCACAATGGAAGCTCAAACCTCCTTACAGCCCAGCTAAACTCTGCACAACTCACACTTTTCCATATTTATGTATCACTATGAATACGCAAAATGTTCTTTTAGCACCCCATCCTCCCATAGCATGAACAACCTTGCTAGCCTGTAACAAGCTGACGTTCCACTGAAGCTCACATAATCACATAATAGAAAGCTGAAGCTGCTGTCTGGAAGGGAGCTCAAGAGATATCTAGTCTCCCCTACTCAAAGCAGGGCCAGATTCAAGGTTAGGCCAGGTTGTTCAGGATTGTTCAGGGCTGAGATTTCACAACCTGTTGGGACGGTCTTTTCTGGTGCTTAGCTACTTTTGTGACAATATTTTTTTCCTGTACAAACATAATTTCCATTGTTGAAACTTGTGACTTTTACTTCTTGCCATTTCACTGTATACCTCTGGCTCTGTCCTGTCTGTAACTGTTTAGACTCTGGAAGACAGCAGTCAGTTCACCCCACAGCCTCCTCTTTCCCAGGCTATGAAAGCTGTCTTCGTTCAGTCTCTCCACATTCATCATGTGCTCCAATCCTCTAACAATTTTTGTGGCTCTTCATTGGTCTTGCTAGTTAGTTGATCTCTATCTTGTACTGGGGGTCCCAAAACCAGACACAGTATTTCAGATGTGTTCTAACATATGCTGCTCAGAGGGAAATAATCACTTGCCTTTGACTGCTGGGTATGCTCTTTCTAATGCAGCCCTCTATGTGGTTGATCTTCACCTCTACAAGGGCACACTGCTGACTCACGTACAACTTCTTGTCTACCAGAACCCTCAGGTCCTTCTCTGCAAAATTGCTGCCTGAATCAGTCACTCCCCACCTGCACTGATGTGTGGGGTTATTTCTCCCGAGGTTCAGGGCTTTGTATTTCTCTGTGTTAAACTATGAAGTTCCTGCTGGACTTCTGCTTGTCAAGATCCTTCTGAGTAGCAGCCCTGCTACTGTAACGATCGCTCTGCCGATTTGGTGTCATGCGTGAACCTGTTGAGGTGCTGAGGGTGCATTCTGTCCCATCCAAGTCTCTAATGATGATGTACTGGACTGGGTATTCATCTCTGGGAATCCCTATCATTACTGACCTGTTGCCAGTTGAATTTAGCTGACAGTCAACTACTTTGAGAATGATGGTAACTGCTGGGTTTTTACCCATTTTATTGTCTACTCATCTGGTTCACACCTCCCCACTTTGGCTAGTAGGATCCCATGGGAAATTTTGTCAAAAGCCTTCCTAAAGTCAATGTAAATAATATCTGCTGCTCTCCCTTATTCATAGAGCTAGCAATTTAATCACAGAAGGCAATCAGGTTCAGCAGGCATAGTATGGCCTTGCTAAATCTATGAGAGCTGTTCCCAGTCACCTTCTTGTTCTTCATGTACCTTGGAACTGACTCCGGGAAGTCTAGCTCCATAATCCTTTCAGAGACAGAGGTGAGATAATACTTCCCCAGATCATGCTTACATTTTTGCAGATGGGCATAACATTTGTGTGTTTCTTGTCACTGAGAAGCTTTCCTGATCGCCACAGGCTTTCAAAGATGATAGACATCTGTCCTGAAGTGATGTCATCCAACTCGCTCAATATACTTGGGTGCACCCTGTCCAGTTCCATGTATTTCTTTTAAGTCCAGGTTATTAAGGATTCCCTAACTTATTCCTCCACTACTGTTTTGTACCACTCTTCCCCAGACTCCCTGCTGAGCTTGGAGATGTGCCAGAAAAGCCTGAAGCAAAGTAGGTCTTGAGTGCCTCAGACTTTTCCATGCCCTTTTTCACTAGGTCTCAATTCTATCTTAGCAGTGGACAGTAATTTCCTTGGTTTCCTTTTGCTGATGCCATACCTATAGAAGTCATCCCTGCTGCCCTTCTCACCCCTTGTAAGTTTGAGCTCTGACCATCCCAATGCCACCCCTCCAAGCTCAGGGGATGCTTCTGTATTCTTCCTGTGTTGCCCGTGCCTCCTTCCACACTTCCTTTTTGCATCTGAGCTCAGTCAGGAGTTCCCTGATGCAGCCAAACTGGCTTCCAGAACCTACTCATTCTCTTGCACACAGAGGTGGACTGTCCTTGTGTTTTGAAAACACCTTTCTTGGGTTCCTTGGTCCTTTAGGTCGGCTTCCTGTGCATTTCTGCCTACCCATCCCCTGAACAACCCAACATCTCCCATTCTAAAACCCTGAAGTACTCCTTCCTCACTTACCTCAAGACTTTAAAATATCACTGGTAATACACATAGGATTTGTTTTATTATTTTCAATAAATAATATATTTTCTAAAAATAAAGCATATTATATTTGCTGTTGCTTTTCTAAGGATGATTTTTGTAAGAACTCCAAAGTTAACAAAAAGAAAAAAAATAGCAACATGCATCAGAAAAATAAATTCCAATCATTTCTTAAACTTCACTTGAGTTAAACATCAGGCTTTCCTCAATCCTTTTAGGAGCATTGAGAAAGCTGTACCAAACTGTTCTACTCACTGAGACACTTCATGATTACAAATTAGGTTACACTGATCACCTGGGAACATACAATACCCAGTTATACTAATTGTACATTTGAGAAAGCTGTATTTATAACTGCAGTACACTTCAGCCTTCTTTGACCAACTTTACAACCCAGAAACAAAAGCAAGTCAGCAGTATGTGACTAACTCTCTTTCTGCAGATATCAGCAACACTGAGAGCTCAGTGAACAAAAGATCAAGTGAAGCACATTTTATGTCAGTAAAATAAATATATTTGTGTATATGGAATATTCATTGCCACCAGCCTGCAAGAAATGCTGATGGCTCATAATTATTTTTACCATTATGGTAATTCTATACCCCAAATAAATGAAAGTTAGTTTAAAATAATTCTATGGAAGTGACAAAATATTAATCAAACCTGGTTTTGCAGCTTCTCTTCATAGGTCTGTTCCCAAGTGTTGCTCATTAGGTTTGTGTTGAAATTTTCTTCTAGGTGTGTGCAGTTAGAGGACCAAAAACCAGAAGAGGGCAATGGACAGGCACTAAAAGGTCTTGCTATGTTGTCTTCATGTTCCATACTAGAGTCATCATACTTTAATTCTGTTACTTGTGATAACTACACAAAGCATAGCCAAGAGACATTTTATTTACCTAAAACTATTCTGATGTAAGCATAGAGTTCAAAGTAATCAAACCCTTCTATATCTTTTACATCTCTGCACATATGCCATATGCAAGAGAAAATTTGCATGTATTCTGATATGATTTTTTCATGAAAAACATAAGGTAATAAGGGCTTATTTCAGGGAAACACATAAGTACCTACTTAAGTTGAAGCATGCACATGAATGTTATCCTGAGGAGAGATGGGTATAAATACATTTGTAGCTTTAGATCTGTAGGTAAATGATTTGCTGACTTGGTTCTTAAGTAGTAAAATGAAAAATATTTTACTCCATTGAGGAGAGAACTCCAGCATGTCATGATACCAACAATGCAGACCAGAACACAAGGAGAAATTTGAAGGCAAAACTCTCGACATGTCTCTGTATCCATTAATGGAGTGCGAAAGCCTTGTACATTAATTACACAAAATCTTTGTACCACAAAACTGTAAATTTCCAGAAAGCTGAAAATTATTATTTTTATAGCCCCTCTTTCTGCTTAATAAAGTGGATATATCTTAATTAATTAAATTGGATATACTTCAATTTATGAAGATTTTAAAAACAGTTCTTTGCAACATACAGGCCTTAGACTTTATTTTTTGATCCAAATATTAAATTAGCTTTTTCTGTGTGCACACTGCATTATCAAGTGTTATCTGATGCAAATTATCTGATGTAAATCTGTCCATAGAAGTGAAGGTTGAGCTATCATTTTGATCTGCTATTTCTGGCCACAGTAAATCTGAAATATGTCCTCCCTGTCTTCAAGAAACAGATGAAAAAGAGTCATAAGGGAAGGCTGACGTAATGTGATATCCAAAAAAGTAGCAGCAGCTCATGGAGATCTTTTCTGAAACACATTAGACAGCTAAACTTTTCAATCATACTAAGTATTTTTTTCTGACTCAAAAGAAAGGAAATTCTAACACCAGAAACCATCTGTCTTTCTCACTCTAGAAAAACATTCTTTGACAGCATGAATGGGCCAAGAACGTACAGAACAATACTGTGCTAGCATCTTTTGCAAGCATCTTTTCCTCAGTCCCATATGATATGAACAGCAGAAGTCAGTGGAACTATATTATCAAGCAAGTATGAGTAACCTAAACTAAGTTTCTTCTAATAGTTTTACTAACTTGTTTTTTGGTTTTTTGTTTTGTTTTGGTTCGTTTTTTTAGTTGTTTTTTTACTTAACAGTGGAATGGGTCATTAAAAAAGCCTAAATTCCATCTACAAAATCTTTTTCACTGTAATCTCAATGACTGTATGAACTTCCCAGTTGTATCCACTGAGACTCGTACTTAAGTTCCTCTTAAAGACTCACTTTTGTCTATGCTTCTCACATTTAATTTCACATTTCTGGATATTGTTTTTAATTTACCTGCTGTTGGCCTCAGTCTCCCATAACCTCCATCCTTTGTGACTAGCACAGATAAATATTTTGGAAAATGCCTAAAACAAAGTGAGCCTTTCAAGAAATATGTAAGAAATAGCAAGAATAAATATAAAATATGATTGGCAAATAAAATATCAATATAGTCTTAAAGAGGAATATTTCATGTTTCAGTATCCATAAGATTGTGTCACTGAAAAGTCACTCTAAAAATACAGTAATTGCTGCACATTTTTAGCTTTACACCAGTGAGAACAATAAACTTACATTATGCTGGTATTTTACTTTCTCTGAGAGATGCTGCCTTCTGCTGTCCAATACTTGCTTTTGTAACCTTGTAAAATGAATAAAAACAGCCTATGAAATACAACATATAAAATCTATAAGATTAAAATCATTATGAATATTAATTTTTAAATAATTTAAGAATATTTTTCCACATAAAATAAAAGGCCTCATTCGTAAGCAGTTATGAGTAGCCAGTGTGTGAATTGGTCACTTTAGGGTGTCTGAAGTTGGATGGGAAAACAGCGTAAGTCCAAAATGCTGTTTGAATAGCCTGCTCTGAGATAAACTTAGTGTATGTACCTGACATGAATAAAGAAACGTTTTTTTTTTTAAATCTCCCAGCTTCATGTACACCTTTTTATTTAGAATATACCTCTTTACTCTCTCATAGTAAGTGTATCACTGGAATGCTAGGAGTGATTGTGAAACTTCTTCATCTCAGAATGGTGTATGTATGTTTACTTAATTCCCCAAGCATAAGACCATCATGAAATACCTTTTCCAGAACTTCATTACAGCTTAACTACTGTCTATTTTATACAAGTACCTGTTCTGGATGTCAGCTAAGTTTGACATATGTTGTGTACGTAATGGTGACATGGGAAGCTCTATGTTGTGCCTCCTAACAGGTATTTTTACATTTTCAGTGATATCAACGTGGGCTGGCTTCCTTGTGTTCTCTGCAATGAAAGTATTTAGAATGTCAGTTCTGGGCTTGGAGAAAAATTTTAGCTTCCTGAATTTTCACTAGAGTACAAAAGCTGTTGGTTTAGGTTTCTTAATCCACATAAAGCCACATTTTTGCTTTCTTTGTTACTAGCAATGCAAGAGCTCTATTCTAAACAGCATTATAGTATAAAATTATTCACAGTCATCTGCTGTGTGTAGTCAGGCTCTGTTGCTCTCTGTCACCTTCTAATGTTCCTGAAAATAGGACAACAAATTCTACAAGATATGGTTTATAAATATGTGACAGAGGATAAGAATCACAGAATTGTTTAGGTTTGCAGAGACCTTTAAGAATATCAAGTCCAACTGTTAATGTAGCACTGCCAAGTCCACCACTAAATCGTGTCCCTAAGTGCCACATCTACACGTAAAGCGTTAGGACTCAAGTTGTAGAGGTGGTTTTCAGGAGCTTAGTGACGGATTTTAAGAAAGATCCTCTGGGTAGAACTGACAGCTTATTCCAAATGCCCTGCAAAAGTTATGAAAAAAGAAGTGGAATACAAATGGACCCATTTGATGGCAAAGGGAAAAAGAAATGGATGTAGGATAATATTAATGAATGGAATGACAAAGGTGCATAAGTGTACAAGGCTTTAAAGGTGGAGTAGGCCGTAGCCAAGGTTATTTGATTCTACTTATGTCCTAATCTTTTATTCAATCATAGGTTTTGTATTTACTTAGAAATGTTGCTTTTAAAAATAATAATAATAAAAAAAAAAAACACTTATTTGAGCATTGTTAAAAGGAAAAGAACAAGAACTAAAATAATAGCAGGAATAGTTAAGGATAACTGATTCTACTAACTGTGAAGTCAGAACACTGTTACACTAAACTCACCAGTGTTGTCTTTTTTGGTTGATATCTGGTTAACAACATATAGATTAATGAGATCTAAACTGACTGCTGAACTTTTAGGAGATGATACTCCGAGAAGCTTCATCTTTGATTTAAGTTTCTTTTTTTCAAAGAATTCCTAAATTTTTTAAAAGAAAGAGTAAGTTTTTGACCAAAGCTTTAACAACATGTTAGCAGCCTGCATAATTCTTTTCAAATTAACATGTAAGACTTAGTAAACAATTCCTGATAATAAAAGCACACAATTAAATCTCTCTGAATTCTCATACCCTGTATACTCCTATTTTGTTTATTTTTATTGCCTTGAAAAAGACTGCAAATATAATTTGGTCACATTCAAAATAAATCACTGTTGTCTTGATGCCAAAAACTTAGTCCTTAAACACACATGCCTCAAAATTTGTGTGTGATCATTAAAAAATATTTCTTTAAAATAAAACACATACCAAAATACCTCAAGGAAAAAGTCTTTACAAAAATTAAACTTGGGCTTTTTAGGCAGCTTGTAAACTAGTAGGCAAATAAGTCAGCAAGATTACATACACACAGCCATCTATAATGACACAAAGAGTTTATTGTTTTCCAAATTTGTCTTTCTCAACATGGAAAATAGTCTTGTGATTAAAAAAAAAAAAAAAAAGAAAAAAGTAAAGAAGAAAAATCTCTGAGACTGGGACTTCAGAAAGGCTTTTTGTTGCAACAAAAAAAGAGATATGACTAACACTTTGAATACATCAGGCAGATAATTCTGGAAAATTTAGGAAACAAAAATCTCCATTTTTTAGGGGACTATTAATAATCATCCTAAAATCATTTGCATCAAACACAGCAGATGTATAAATAAAAACAGTAAGATTTCTTTATTTTAACCACAAGAAGGATATTGAAAACTGAAGGCTATCCCAAACACAAAATAGTATTGGCTTTTCTCCTGAATAGTAATTCCTCTTGTGATTGCAGGTTATCTGTAATTAGTATACCCAACATGCTTGTTGGTAACTATTTTCCAGTATAACTTATTATATCACAATCTTTATCTTTCTAGGATGTTATCATCTATGGAAAATACCTGTTCTTCAGTTAAAAATACCTGTGGTAGGTAAATTCGGCCTGTGTACAAATCAACACTTCAAAATTCATATTGCTTTGGAGTCCACACGCACAAAATATATCCATGTTCCTTCAGTGTCCCATATTTTTTCTTCCCATCACCTCTAAATTACTAAATCACTATTAATTGTGTAATAGCAATTACAAAATTACCATTGTGTGTAGTAATTCAGTACTAAATTACTAAAAGCAATCCTGCCTTGGATCCTTTCCTGTTTTTTCTCCTCCACTGAAGCGAATTACACAGTTGTAATGAAAATTATGTAGCTTAGACCAAATTCCTGAGGAAACAGGTATCTTGAGAACTCACAGGCCTCCAGGAGATTGGGAAAGTGATGGGGACAACAAGTTGCCAGTTTCTCCCACATTCCCTTAGGTAAAGGTTTTCATTTCAGAGACTGTCTCCATACTATCAGCCTGCTTTTCTTCCTCCTGTATATGCCAGTGTATCTGCTCTGGGCATTAGGGTTTACGAGCATCAGTGGTAGAGCTTTCATATACTGTTTCTTTTTTCCCTGCTGATGAGAAGGAAACTGACTTCTCTTACTTATGTTTATAACTATTTTATCTTATTGTTTTCTTTCTCTTTCCTGTTTGAAATGTCTTACGCTGTGCCAAAGATAAATTTGATTTATTATTTCTCTTTCAGATTAAAAATACAAATAAAATGTCTTACTTTTGCAAATGCCAGAATGAAGAACTTCAGCGAGCCTAACATTCTTCTTCGTAGCCCAGAAAAATAGCTGCGTGTATGTGTGTTAGACTAGCTGACCACCTGGTTGTCACTGTGAGGCTTCAAGCAATCCCATGTGTCAGCACATACCAACGAAATATAGTAACAGGAGTAATTCAGTAAAACTTAAATTGTGCACATTCATTCATTCATGTCTTCTCCTACTCCCTCCTCTTCCTGATGGAATTCAATGTAGTAAACCTAGAACAAGACCTCTGCCCTAAACGTTACATGCAGTCAGGCGAACACATTACAACTGTTATGCTACAGTTTTGAGTCTCACTCGAAATGCCCTGAAAGATTTTCCTAAGTGAATAAACTAAAACATTTATATAACATTATAAAATCCAAGATGGCTAGAACTGTTTACCTTTTGCTTTCTCCTTTCCTGCTTTAATATGATTCTGCTCCTGAAAGATGCAAATCATTATTGTTTTAATTGTAAAAGTATATTCTTGAGTCATGGCTTGAATTTCTCATCAGTGGTATTGAGAATTTAAGACACAAATATGTTACATTATGCTATGCTACAATGGATAAAACCTGCAGGTAGTAAAGTCAACATATCTCTGTTGAAGTCATTTTGATCGTGGTTTAGTCAGGTAAAGATAGGACCACCAAATACATTGAACATTCAGAAGTAAAAGCTTTTAGACATTTAACCTGTAATGCAACATTTAATCAATTCTTAATTTCTTAAAACATTATAAGAAATCTTTGTCAATACATTAATTTCTCCTCATTTTCTTTGTTATGCTGCAACACAGTTACAAAACTATATTAGCAAAAAAAAATGAAGCAGCACAGTGCAAATTTCTACCTTTTGGGACTTTACAGAATATTGTGAATATTTTGTAAAAAAGGTATGAAAAATAGATTGTCAGTGCAGGTCTTATCGAGCTGATGTTGTTTGTGCAATATAGGAGACAATTATACTTTAAACTACATATCTCACTTGTTAAATAAACATAGTCTTAAACTAATTGCCTACAGGACATGGTGCATGAAGTTAGAGCTCTGGGTCACTGCTGTGAGCAGGAAGAGCATGGCTGCAATCCTTGGGTCAGTAAGATTAGGATGTCTTTTTGAGAGTTAGAAATATGGAATATCCCCTTGGAATCCTCTTCCTCTTCTCTAAGTTAGAACACTTTCTAAACATATGCACATAACAATTACCCTTGCAGTGGGTAGAAGCCCGAGTAATGGATAGTTTTTCTGACACCTAAAATGCAAATCTCAGACTTGCATGAGGAACCCTGAGAGCAGCAGAAAGCAGCGGTCTGATTTGCTATTTGCTAAGCGAGTGCAACACTCATACATGCTGATTTTTCTTACAGACAGAATAGTATGATAGGCAGGTGTTTAGGACAAAGTTGGGGTGTTTTTTTCTTTTTTCATACTGAAGCTCCTCCTTCCATCTGCATCACACAGGCAACTTTCAGAAACCTCATTTTGCTGGTAAGACTTCCAGATGGGCGAGACATTCTTTTAGTTTGATTTTGCATAGAGTCAGGATGATTATAAAACTGTGTTTAGCAAAAGCAACTTTCAAATGGTTGACAAAGTCTGTGGGGTTTAAATTTCTAGTAGATAGGCAGATGGCACAGAACCTAAAGAAACTGAGTGTTATAATTTTTTTTTTTTTTTTTAACATTACAACTCAGTTGGTGATTATTTTACTATTTTGGTGAGTCTCAATAACTATACATCTTTTTCTCCAAATGGTAATCACTGCAGTTCATGAGGGCACAAGGAAAGGCCCAGGCGGGAGAGCCTCACCCAGCCTCAGTCTGTGGAGAGATACCAGGCCCAAACGTGACCCCCCCTGCCTGGTGCGGGACGGCATCTGCGTCCCCTCACGCAGTCCGGCTCAGGAGGGGACACCGGGGCTGTCGCACCCACCACGGCCATGCCGGGTCTGTGAGGGGACACCAGGGCTGGCACACACACAGCGGCTCTTGCCCAGTCTGTGAGGGGACACTAGCTCAGCACGGAGACGTTTCTGACAGTGTCTGAAGAGTTTTACTCACCGGCTGCCACCAACCCAGTTCATTTTCTGCTGCTGAGGATGGAGGGAAGGCTGCTGTGTGTGGTGCTGGGGATGGAGAGGAGAGGCAATAGCCACCACAGGGATGGTTGGCGGCCTCCCAGCAGGGCTGCAGGGCCCTCCTGCAGGGTCTCCTCCTCCCTGGGAGCCCAGGGCAGCTGCTCTCCATGCCCTCAGGCTGCCCAGTGCTGGCAAAGAGGGAGGGGGCGGTACAGTGACAGACAGCAGAAGGAAAAAGATGCAGAAATACCTGCAGCGCAGGCTGATGGGGAGGAGGTGATGCTCTGGGTGCTGCCACCCTTCCTCTACCACTGGCATTTCCATACAGGCTGCTGCTAGAAGCCATTGCCCTTTTGCAAGGGAATCACGAGCCTCTTGCCATCCCAAGTGAATCAAATTCACAGTTACTGGAGTGGGTTACACAGCTGTTGACATTTTGTCTTTCAGGCCCAGATTGTCACTGCTATAATCACCATAATTTTTAGGGCAAGAGAGAAGCGTCTTCTTCCCCAGAAGAGATTTCCTGCTCTTCCTCAGTTATTTTAGGGGCATTGAGGGAAGCAATGAGCATTTTCTACTAGTAGGTGTTGTTGCACTTGGAGCTGCCTGATGAGCTTTTGCATGTAATTAGGAACAAACCCTTGAGGAGGGACGCAGGGTTGCCAGTGCTCCCTGTGCTCCCAGGGTGTCTCAGCAGCATCCCCTTGCTCCCTTCCCTGTGAATGAAAGCAGCCATTTACAAAACAATCATTACAATTGTATATGAATATTTTCCTGTGGTTTCTTTACTGAGTTATCTTTAGCCTAACATTTTTCAGGGTACTGATATTTGATTGCCGTTAGTACAACAATGTGAAGAGCACTCGAAGCAGTTAGTAGAAGCCTAATATTAAAAATTACCTGTTTTTTTCCTAATGCTTTTAATTTTTATAGGATGTCTATAGAACGAATAGCTAAAAGATTATAAAAGTGAAAAGACCCACTTTTCTAAAATATCACTAATTAAACTGAATAAACTTACTGGACAGAATATTTTATTGTTGTGATATTCCCAGTATTTCTGATTTGTATGCATAATTGTTTCTTGTAAAAACACTAGATTAAAATCTTCATAGTAAAACTTATCTATATATTAAGTGAGTTTGCCTCTACAGATAATGTAACAGAAGACAACAGACTGAAAGTTTATTTAACTTATTTCATCACTTGAAATAATCCTT